AACATCTTCAAAGACCCCACTGTTAAACTGTTTCACAGGTAGTAACAGGCTAGGACTTCAACTGGACTTCTTTGTATGCATGTGGATATTATCCTGTCACTCACAATATTGTATTTCAAGATGTATCTAGAAACGACTTTAACTACGAAAGCAACCCCTTTTTTCCTCACCTTTTCATCTCCTGCATGATAGATCATATGATCATTTGACTCAAAATGCCCCATGCTAGTCCTTCTCATCTCATCAATACCTGTTGTTGTTTTGTGCCGTTGAGTCGCTAGCAACTCATAGCGACCCTATGTACAACAGCCCTAAACTCTGCTCTGTCCTGTGCCAATCGCACTGTCTCTGACACTCCCATCCCGATTATCCCAGTCACTGAATCAATCCACCTCAGAGAGGGCCTTTTCCTCCTGCGCTGTCCCTCCACCCTCCCAAGCATGATGTCCTTCTCTAAGGACCGGTCTCTCCTCACAACATGTCCAAAGTATGTTAGACTGAGCCTCAGAATCCTTGCCTCCAAGGAGCCACCCGGTTTAACCCTTTCCAGGACAAATCTGTTTGTTTTCCTAGCAGTCCATGGTACCCTCAATACTCTTCTCCAGAACCACAGCTCAAAGGCATCAATTCTCCTTCTATCCTCCTTGTTCATTGTCCAACTCTCTGATGCATAACAAGTGACTAGTATGTTAATATTTATGCTTTCCATTTCTTCCTTAACAATATTTAATTTTTCTGCATTCATGGTTCTCACTTTCCATGTTCCAATCAGTAGTATCTGCTTACAACTATTCCTTTGTGTTTCCATAATTGAAAGCTCCACCTCAGTTGCCCTGAAGAAGGTGAAATCAGGCTGCTCCTTGGAGGAAAGGATTCTGAAGCTTCGTCTGACATACTTTGGACATATTGCAAGGAGGGACCAGTCTTTGGAGAGAAATGTCATGCTTGTCAGGGTGACAGCACAGGAGAGGAAGACCCTCCATGAGATGCATTGATTCAATGACTGGGATAACGGGGAGAGATGTGTCAGAGACAGTGAGATTGGCACAGGGTAGGGCAGTGTTTAGGGCTGTTGTACATAGGGTCGCTGTTAGTCACAGGTGATTTGATGGCACATAACAACAACAGGACTTCAACATATATTTTGGAGGCTATAGTTTATTTCCCCCTCCTCCCACAAATATACAGGCCAAGATTTATGACACATATTTTGAAAGAGATACAATAAAGTCATAATACAAAGTCACTGACATATATCATAGACTTACCACTGCCCCAGTTGCATAGAATACACTCAAACTAAAAGGTTCTCGTTGGTATCACTGTTGTCAATCATCCTGATAGTCCATTTCCCCATCATCCCATCCTTGACCCCACCCCTTGGGGAGGGCGCTGGGGGTGCTGATCAGAAATAATGGCCCAGTCCCACCTTCCACGTACAAATTCACCCTTACCAGCCCCATCTCCATTCTGTGTCCCTGTCATACAGATGGAGAACAGTTTAATTCCAGATAGTTTCTTTTCCTACAGAATTGCTATTCAGGAAATCTTCTTAAAATGTTGAAAAGAGCTTGTACCATGCTGGTATATTTTGGTCCTGGCCAATGCAGAATATGATCCACAAACATAAATATGAAAATTAGAAGTACTAAAATGGAAGGGGGAAATATACTATAAAAGTGCCTTTTCAAAAAAAACAGTATACATAAAACTTCTCAAAGGTCCACTCCAAACACAGGCATAAGAGACTTATTTACACAAATTTGTATTTTTAGAGGTCCTTTTTAGAGTTGGGACAAGGTTCAGATCTGTTATTCATAGGGTCATTGTGCATTCATAGGGTTGAGTCATTGTCAACTCAACCACACACACCACCACCACCACCACCACCACTATGGCAGAAAGGAAAGTACTGCTACTTTGAGCCGCAAAGAGCTTCTGACCTGGCGGTTTCAGGTTTGGGCTCTGCACCACTGAATCCCTGCCTCTCCCAGGCTGCTTGTGTTAGTTGGTGGAAGTATCCCTGTGGATGAAAAGAACAATTTTGCAAGAAGGAATATCTCCGACCAAGCTTTAAGTTCCTGGTCACAGTTTGTTTTGGTGTCAAGAATAGATCACCTTAAAGATACCCGGAAGTGGGGAGAATGGGGAAGCCTACCTTGTAAAGAAGCATCCCATACAGATCCAGAAAGCGATCAGATTTCATACTGACACAGAATGAGCTTGATCTTCCAGGGATTACCTAGGAGAAGGATTCTCAGTCGTGACTGCACATGTGAATCCTCTGAGGAGATTATAGAAATATAAAAGGCAAAGAAACTCTCCTAAATATGTAATTCAGTTAAGGATGTGACTCTGGGATGAATAGTTCCTAAAAGCACTTCCCCCGAGAACCTCTGTACTAGACAATTGGTCATTTAACCTGAACACAGCAGGTAAGACAGACTTTCATGAGCAAACATGGTATGTCCCAGAGAAGGTGCAGCCAGGATGCTCCTTAAAGGCAAAGACGATGAAACGTTGTCTCTCGTGTTTTAGACATATTGTTAAGAGGGGCTTCTTCTTGGAAAAAAGACTTCATGCTTGGAAAGGTGAAGGGCCAGAGAAGGAGAGGAAGATGCTTGACAAGATGGGTTGACACAGTGACTGCAGCAATGGGTTAGAGTACATTAGGGAAGATGAGGATGGCGCAGGACCGGGTCAGGGGTCAGGTCAGTTCCACCTCAATGATAAACATGGCAAAAGTCTGTCTATCTATCTATTCAGATATAAATACAGATTTATTGTTATTATGTGCTGTCAAGTAAGAACCAACTCATAGCTGAGTTAGTGGAATTTTAGAGACTGTAAATAGCACTGGAGGAGATTGCCCATCTTTCTCCCTTGGTGCAGCTGGGGATTCAAACAACCCGTCTTTGAATTGGCTGCACAACACCTTGCCCGCAAGGCCACCAGAGATCCCTAGATGAGATGTGAAAATTTCACCAGGAGCTCTGGTGCCGAGCAAGTAAGCAGTTGCTCACCAATCCAAAGGCAAGCAATTAAAAGCCATCATCTGCTCCACAGGAGAAAGATGCTTAATCTCCTCCCATGAGATTTATAGCCTCTAAAAACCTCTGGGGGAAAATATATATATATTCTATTTGTCTCTTGATGTGAAGTGAGGTAAGAAAGAGATTTTTGTGTAGTATAAGACTCCCAATGAGTTCGATGTATAAGGACAAGTAGATTGGTTTGATTCACAAGTTATTATTAGACAAGAAAACTATAAGCAAAATGCAACCCAGTATGTCCAGTTGACTGTCTCATAGTGACCCACTAGGACAGAACTGAAGGGCCTCTCCAGGTTTTCAAGGCTGTAATCTGTAAGCAAGCAGACCGTCACATCTTTTTACTATGAAGTAACTGAGTCATTTGACCTTCCTGTAAGTAACGTGAGTGTTTTTACACTGCGTAAACACAGCAAGCACCTTTAAAAAAAAAACCAACAAAAAACTATACTGGGTCTTAAAAATTAAAAGGTTCAGTATTTTTTTTTTCTCGTTTCCTGTGTTTTACCTCTGAAGATGTAATAGATGGACTTCTAGTTAGGCTATTTGTGGAAAACACAACCAATGGGCTTCTTCAGCAGTCATTGTAAGTGTATCTTTTCACATATGTGTTCTTTTTCACAGTTGAAAATTCTGGGAGGTTATATAATAATGTTCAGTGTTTCTAAGGCTCACATCAGGATCCAGGCAGTAGCTCCAGGTTTAGAAATTATTCCAAATAGTCAAGGTTCTTTCACTTAAAAATGTAAACTCCCAAGTGTTTCTACCTTGAACACTTCAATCTACAGTCATGTCAGCAGTGACATTTTAATTTTATTTTAGACTCCTGTATGGGAAGTGATTTTAATAAATGACGAGTGACCACTGTTAATCAGTCCTTCCCCCCAACAAACAAAAAGAACTTGGAACCACAGCCAAGGAGATCAGAGAAGCCAAAACAAATACAATCAACCTTTATTCTTGATTTGTATCCATACTTCTTGAATACATTCCTTATTTTGCTCCATCCATTACCTAACTAATAACTTTCCCAGTCTACATGTGGGGAAAAAATACCCAACATGGTTGACAGTGAGTAAGCCTGGCCAGTCATTGGGTTTTTGTAACAAGCTTTAATAAGTGGGCTTCTCCAGAAATACAGAAGCTTGTAAGAATACCTTACATGAATCTCTATTCCCAAGTTTAAAGGTAAACAACAAAACAAAAAACCCTTAATCTAAGACTCAAATGCATTGCTATTGAGTCTGAGTTGAATCATAGTTCACCTTCCAGTGAGATTTCAGGAAGCTATAATTTGCACCAAAAAAGAATGCCCATTGTTCTCCCATGGAGAGGCTGGTGGATTCGAACTTATAGAGAAGTGCTGTCTTTTGGTTATCAGTGCAGCTCCCTGTGGGCTAAGCTTCCAAAGTTTCCTCTTAATCATAGAATGACATGGAAGGCCACACTGGGTTAAAAAGGCTAACCACAACACGGAAGATCTTATGTTCACACCACGGAAGAAGACCACTTACTCAATTTTCCCTGCAAAGTCCATCCCCACTTTGTTCTTTCCCCTGATGAACGTTTTCAAAGTAATGAAATACCAAAGGAGACACAGATAAGTAGGGTATAGGATGGAACTGGAAAGCAAAAATGGGATCCTGGACATTTTGTGATGGATAACAGATAAAGTTCCTTATGAAGAAATGTACAAAATATTTAATCAGCCTATTTTTCCCTAAGGGGCAAAAACAGATACAGGTTTTGGTCAAGTAGCTACGGTTTTATAGAGGGAGAAATGTCATGGAAATATGGAAAACATCTCTAATGTCTACATCACATGAAATATGTAAGGGTAGCAAAATAAAAATAATTATACACATATGTGGGATGAAAAGTAAATTGTGGGATTAAATGGTTGTACTATTGAAACACCATTCAGAACATCAACTCAGTTCCTCTTCCAATTCAGCTGGCCAGAGGTCTGGCTTCAATTGATTGTGCTTTCTGAGCATTAGCTTTTTCCTTCCTCTTCAAACGAATAAACACAGCTGTTAAAATTGCACCTGAAAAGGAAAAGTCATGATCAAATAGATGGAATCTAAAATGCACTGTTACATTTATTTAATCAAAGCAATATTGGGGGGGGGAATGACTCATGGTAACTTGATTTTTGTTTGTGATTCAACAGAGTTTTGTTGCCCTGATGAATAAGCAACCCCAGGTGTTTGCTTTCTTAGGCAAGTAAGCATATCACTTTCTTATTTTAATAAGTAGTCTATCAAGCTCCAAATCATACCTAACCTAATTACTGTTATAGGATTTCTGTCAAAGAATATATGACCTACAGTTCTGCCTACATGAAAGACTAAAATAAGAAAGTAATATCTGAAAGGATTCCTGCACTCTGTATTCACTGAAATATCTATGCTAGTTCTTCTTCCTTTTCCTTAGAAAAAAATTCTCGAATGACTAGGCATAGGTGTGGCATGTTCACCTGCCTACAACATACTTTCTTTGTTCCACATCAAGTATCACATTTTTGTTGTTGTTACTTTCCTCATGACTTCAGCGACACTATTGAGAAGCCCGAGTAGACCATTTATTTTTGAACACCTGTAAAATTATATGTGCATCTTAGCTCCAAATGTACAATAAGATCAGAGGCCAGTGTTCATAGCAGCATTATTCACAATAGCAAGAATATTGAAACAATCCAAATGTCCATCAACAAATGAATGGACTGAGAAACTGTGGTATATCCACCCAATGGAACATTATGAAGCACTCAGGAACAACAATTTTGAAAAATACCTTGTAACATGGAAGAGGCTAGAAACCTTATGCTGAGTGTACTAACTCAGTCTCAGAAGAAAAAATTCTACATAAGAAGAACATAATTGGTCATGGCAAGAGTCCAGAATGAAGGCTGCATAGTGACGTGCTCGGGGGTGGGGGGTGGGGGGGACTGTATATCAATGAAATAATTTTCTTTTACTTTTCAAAGAGAAGAGTGAACTGGGAGGGGGAGGGGTGGACAGAGAGAAAAAGGCAACAATGACTGAATGAAAATCAAAAATCTCTCTAAACGTTCATTAAAATTAATTTTTTAAAAAACCCAGCAAACAGAAAAGTCTTGCAAACAGTGCATCCAGAGTGCTCCTTGGAGGCAAAGATGGCAAAGCTTCATCTTTCATACTTTGGATGTGTAAGTAGGCAAGGCTATTCCTTGGAAAAGGACCTTTGGAAAGATGGAATGTCAGTGAAGGAAAAAGATCCCCAGTGAGATGAATTTGGTGCAATGACTTCAACATGGGATCTGTGTGTCAGATATAATGAGGACGGCAGAGGGTGTGGCAGGTTCAGGTAGGTTGTTGATAGAGTTGCTATGAGTTGTACTTGACACCTAACAACAACAAATACGAAAAGTCCATTTATGTGTGTAAGTTGTCATTTTCTATCTTGTATTTGTTTTGTTGCTTCTTATGTATACTCTATAGCATGAAATCCAGTGTAAAAGTGCCAGAAGAAGGTATAGTAGCTATACTGAAATTGATAATAAAAGATAGTAATAAGATAAAAAAGAACATAAATGTAGCTATAGAAAGATTACTAGTAAGATGTGTATAAAAATCCAAAGGAGGAAGAGGAGGGCCATGGGGGAACAAGGGAATAAGGTGGGAAGGGGAAATTAAGGGATTGCAGAGTGAGGATTGAAGGAATTAGGAAAAATCCAGTAGGGACCTGAAAAAGACAAGGTGATAGTGGGCATAGATCAATAGTTATTGGTTTTATAAGACACAATGTATGGGAATGATCATATAAAACATACTGTAAATGAAGGAATGTGTGAAATACAATGTACATGAATGAATAACAATACAAAAGTTTTATATGCAGACCAATATAATTTTTTTAAAAATATGTTAAAAAGGGACAATTGTTTTCAGATATTGACCTGGCAGTAACTTCATAGAAGGAATCCTGGCAGAAAAGACTAGAAGCTTAAGAATCATGTAATCTCAAGTCTAATTTTAAAAGGGCAGGGATAGGAAACGGTAAGATGTTGTTAATTCTACCTCTGTATATTCCCAAACTCTTTCAACCATAGCTTGTATTCAAATTATAGGGTTAAATGTTCTGTTAAAAAATGCTAGTTGGAAGATCGAAGATGGTGCCAGAGGCAGAGACAACCTGGCGAGCTGCGGGAGCAGTGGACCACTTGGAGGAGGGCCACCATGGCCTTCTATAGACCTCTGTTTCTTGATAATTGAACAGTTAAACAGTTGATAACTGGTCTTCAATGCGGATCTAGGCTCAACATCAGATCAAGGATTCCCAGGGAGGAATGTGTGAGTCCCGCAGCTCCCAGCCCTCTGCTGCTGAGCCTGTGCCACCGCCACAGCTCCATGAAGCTCCCACCGTCAGACCCCAGGGATCCCCTCACCCGAGATGGATGGTAGGCACTGCCCCCCACCCCCAACTGGTGTAGTGGAGCCGCCACACTGCTGCAGAGTGGACTTGTTCAGAGGAGAATCCTTGGAGCCAAGATGGAGGCAGTAGGAGATGCAGGCACCACAGGTTTGGGTTTCCTTGGGCAGGCCAGAGAAGACGATCACCAGTACAATAAATTGATGAAAGTTACTGTGAGCCATCTACTTGATGACACTTATCAGGGGCAGCGTGTCCAAGACGGTAGACATCCTAAATGCACCACATATATTGATCTGTTGAATGCCTCTGCCAAGAACTATTTAGACCTAGGGGGAGTCTGTTCACCACTCTCAGGTCCCCTTCTCCATTTATAAAGGGGAGGGCAATGACACCTACTTCAAGTTACAGTATGACCACTTATTGGGGGGGGGGAAAGGTAGCGGTGCTGGAATTGGGGATGTTGTCTCTGGCCACATGGTCTTCATTCAGGTGAGGGGTCTGTACTTGGGGGGGGGGACTTTGGTGGGGGAATGTGCTAGCCAGCCCCTAGGGTGTGTCACCCAGCTTGGGGCAAGCCGTTTTCAGCCCACAGCTCAGGGCTAGCCGTCTTTGGCCCCTGGCTCGGGGCAAGCTGCCTTTGGCCCCTGGCTCAGGGTGAGTTGCCTTCAGCCCCCAGCTTGGGGCAAGATGTCTTTGGCCTCCCGCTCTAGGCAAGCCATCTTTGGCCCTTGGGGTGAGCTCCTCAGCCCTCAGGATGTTCCATCCGACCCCTGGGTAGAAAAAACTGCCTAGGGTATACAGATAATTTTATCTAGGCTACTTTCCTCCACCCTCTCCCCTAGTACACCCATAAGTAACACCCCCAAAGCCCTTCTGTTTGTAACTCACAAGTTTGTTCTCTCTAGGTTTGCTCCCTTTCCTCTAGGTAACCTTAATACTGAGTTTTACTCCAGACCTGACCCTAAACCCAGTTCCAGTGACAAAAAGGAAATACAACTGCCAGCTAAAGAAGCAAAGGAGGATGGAGCCTCTGGGTTCAACCAGCCATCCCCACTGGACCCACCTGGGAAAACACTTTGCAGCCCAGAGGGGAGTAAATGTCAGGAAAATATCTTCTAACAGAACAAGAAGGCAAGCAGCTTTAACCCAAGACCACCAGTAAGATGATAAAATGTATTCCCTTTCCCCTTCACATCAACGCCCCTGTTCAGCATGAAGAAGCCAGAGAGTCTATGCCCAGTTCCCAAACGAGAAACCCAAAAGTGAATAAGACAGTTTGTTTAATCACCATTGGACTATGCTTACCATTGCCCTGTATCACCTGGTCCCCACTGGATCCTTTTCATTTCCTTCACCTGCTCCCCCCACCAACCAAATTGTGTATCTCTGAAACTGCTACCCTGCAATTTTCACCCCTGCTCTTCATCACCCTTCTGCCCCCAACCCTCACCTCCTTGTATCCCCAACATGTTTTTCCCAATAAAATAAATTTTAAAAAATGCTAGTTGGTGAATAAACAAACTCCTTCAAAGTAGGAGAGAAAATTGGGTAAAAAAGATACAGAGACAGTATGAAAAGTATACATAAAGCAGAAGTTCTTGGACAAAAATAATGGTCACAATGCACATTTGGATGGTCAGATGTCCAAGGAATGAAGAAACTTCCATCTCATAATAAGGAATTTGGACTGACAGGTATAAAAAAACCAAGGTCCCTTTTAGACCCATGAGTCAAATGCAGGCTTACAGGATGAGTGATAAGAGAAAAAGCTCAGATACAGAGAGAACAAATAGGACTTTTTAGAAAAACCTCAGTGTTCTTTTAAAAGGTAAAAATATATTCTGCCCTTATATATCCTAAACCCTTCACTTGAGGGCACATGGATTGATGAAGTATCCATTTCTAAGCTTTAACTTGTAATGAGGCCACAATAAAAAAGAATAATTACTATAGTAAACATTGTACTTGTCACAAAAAAAAAGGAAAAAAGCAACAGCTAGAACAGAGATTCTGCTATGTTTTCAGGCCAAGGTCCAAGACAGAGTCAAGGTTGTGATACAGTGGAGCGATTCTAAAGTAATAAAAAAAGTCCAGAAACATGAAAATATACAGAAAAAGTCCACAGTATTTCAAGTATCTCCCCTGTAAGGTTAACGTCCACTTTTTTAACAATGACAGACTAGACAGTTTAACTCTGAGTGTAAGATCTGTGGACCTCTTCACCTATCACTACATTCCCTCTGCCCCCCAATATCCAAAGCACTTTATTTCAGATCTGAGAGAAAGCAATGAGATTCTTCTTGAAAACTGCCTCATCACCATAGTCTTGCTATCAAACACCCTGCCTAACACATAGCCAGGGAGTGTATAACTGCACCTCTATCTCTTTCATCATACAAATTTGGCAATGAGCAGATTTAACTGGCTTAAATTGTCTTCCATTTTCCAACTAACCTACAAGGTGTAAATAGTTGGAGGGTGAAACAGTGTCTTCCAACCAGGAACCTTTAACACGTTGCCGCAAATTACAGCAAAATGTGTTTCTAAGTATGGTCGTCATTAAAATGGTTTCTTGATGATATAAATCATTGGCTGATTGCCTAGGTTGCCATTTGCCACACAGAACAGGACAGAAAGAGCTGCCACCCGAGGTGAGATCACGTATCTGAGATCCAGGATAGGAATCCTTGAAGCTGAGAAAGACACTTACCAATGATCAGAAGAGTGGCCAGAATTATTCCGACTGCCATGCCCACAGTGGGGATCCCGGACTGACCACCCGCTGGACGGAAACAATGTCCATCTACACATGTGCAGAAAGTAACTAGAAAGCAGAAGAACATTTGGTCATAAACCTTTTAAGTGACTATTTGCATAATCCTTCATCAAAGACAGGAATTCCCTCAAATTAATGATGGTGCCAGATTCCATTCTAAATAGCGTACAGTAAAATACCTACCTGGTAAAGAAACAGTCCTTTCCATGGGAGGCCGACCCCTATCACCAATGCGGATTGGGACATGGTAAAGTCTCTCTTCAAAACTTATATGTTTGGGGGATAGTTTAGCATGAGTTCCTGTCAGAAAACAAAAATAATGAGTGGTATAAAAGCATAACTTCAGATCCCCAAGTCACCAGGAATACTTTGTCTCTGCATTAGATACTAAGGTTGACTGGGAATTGGTTAGAGATAAGTACATGGAGTTAAAAAATTTAAAGTGCTAGTGGGGACTTTCCAACAATGTAAAAACAGAAACAAATAAAAAAGTTGCTGTTGCTGTTATGTGCTATTGAGTCTGAACCAAATCATAGCTGACCCTGCAATGGGTTTTCGAGGGTTGGAAATAACACAAAAGGAGATTGCCCTACTTCCTCCCAAAGAGCAGCTTACGGATTCAAACCACTTGCCTCTGGATTGGCAGCACTACTCTTTACCCCTAGGCCACTAGAGTTCCTTACAGAAAGGAAACAAAACATTTATAGCATGGTTATTGGAGAGTATATGGGACGAGAGCATCTATAGGCCTGATCCTGAATTTCAAACCACGAGTAAACCATGTGACACAGAATAAACTGTAACATCTATAAGCCCTTCAAGTTCTGAAAAAAGCAAGTTAATTCTTTTCAGGTATTTTTGCCCCTTTTCTATGAGAAAGTTATGAAGGGAAGACATAACAGAAAGGCTCAAATTTCTAAAGATGATTTTATTCTAGTTGTAACTCTGTCTTCTTAGACCCTCCTCCATTCATCTCTCTCTAGATTTTTCCCAGAAGTTTTGGGAGATATTTTTATACTTGAAAATTATATGACCTACACATCAAAACCTAGGCAAGGTGGAGTCACATGAACTAGATTTACAATCTCACCTGAAACAACTTTAAAAAGAGAAAACCATATTTTATAAAGACATTGGGGGATTAGACAATGAAGGATTCCTGAGCCAAGATAAAACAAATGAAGAAAGGCCTATCATTTCGCCCAGTTTATGACCTAGAGAGAATGTCCAGGCCTCAAGCTGCCCCAGAGAGCTGGTTTCTGAGTAGAAGAGAGGGAGCTGGGGTAGAGTTCACAGAAAATACTATCAAAACAAAGAGAATGGTGCAGAGAGTCCCTTCAAGTCTTAAAAGGGTAAGAGGGAAATATCCTTGATACTCACAAAACACCAGAAATAGTTCTTGTTCCTGCAAGCCAGAGTGGAATATATGATCATTCATGGGACATCAGGTAGAGTACCCAGAAGAGTCTTGTCTCAAGAGTTTGGAAAAATAAGTGCTGTATTAGTCCTGCCTAATAAAACTTTTAAAAAAAATCCATGTATAAAGAGTTATAATGCTTTTCAATTTATCGATATTTCAGAATAAAGCTCAAGAATATTCTTGGGAATACAAAAAGTATTCCACATCCAGCAAGGTAAAATATTCAAGGCCTGAATATCTAATAAAAATTAGTGGCTATGCAAGAAAGCGGGAAATATTACCATAATGAATAAATACCATTAACTCTGTCCTAGAAGTAACATATGATGTAAATAGTTAAAACCAAATCGAACTCACTGCTGTTGATTCACATCTGAATCAACAACCTTATCTATCACATAGAGTAGAAGCGCTTTATAGTTTCTTTCTAGAAAGCAAACTGTCTTATCTTTCCCTCCCAGAACAGCTGGCAGATTAGAACCACCAACCTTTCAATTAGCAGTTCAAGGCTTAACCACTGTGTCAGAAAGGTTCCTACACAGTAGAAAAGGACAAAATAATTGGGGAAGTTATGTTACCTGATTTAAAATACTATTACAAAATTGCAATAATCATGACTGTGGATTTAGTAGGAAGATAGACAAATAGATTGATGGATATAAAAGGAAGTAGAAAACTATACATATGGTTACACAGTGTTTTACAAAGTTGCCAAGACAAGACAATAGAAAATGAATATTTTTCCATATGCAGAGCAGATTATCTGAGAGGCTGGGCTCTATGAGGAGAAGTGTGGCATCAGGATTGGTGGAAGATATATTAACAATCTGCGTTATGCAGATGACACAACCCTGCTTGCCGAAACTGAGGAGGACCTCATGCACTTGCTGCAGAGGGTCAAGGACTGAAGCCTTCAGTATGGACTGAGGCTCAATGTCAAGAAGACAAAGATTCTCACCACTGGAACAATTGGTAGCATCAGGATGGATGGCAAAGAGATTGAGATTGTTCACAGCTTCAGTTTGCTCGGCTCCATGGTCAACACTCTTGGCACCAGCAGCCAGGAAACCAAAAAAAGTATTGCGATGGGAAAGTCTGCTGTTAGGGACCTCTGTAAAGTACTCAAGAGCAACGGTGTCTCTCTGGAGACTAAGGTCTGCCTGATACAGGCTATAGTCTTTGCAATCACTTGTTATGGATCAGAGAGTTGGACAATGACTAGGGAGGATAGAAGGAGAATTGATGCCTTTGAGCTGTGGTGCTGGAGAAGAGTATTGAATGTACCCTGGACTGCCAAGAAAACAAACAGATTTATCCTGGAAAGGGTTAAACCAGGCTACTCATTGGAGGCAAGGATTCTGGGGCTTCGTCTGGCATACTTTGGACATATTGTAAGGAGAGACAGGTCTTTGGAGAGAGACATCATGCTTGGTAGGCTGGAGGAACGGCGCAGGAGGGGAAGGCCCTCTAGGAGGTGGATTGATTCAGTGACTAGGGTAATCGGGATGGGTGTGTCAGAGGCAATGTGATTGGCACAGGATAGAGCAGGGTTTAGGGCTGTTGTACATAGGGTCGCTATGAGTTGCAAATGATTCGACGGCACATAACAACAACAACAACTACAACAACATGTATAAACATTCCTTTGGAGTAAACAGAATCAAAGAACTAAATGTAAAAGCTAAAACTAGAAAACTTCTGGGGAAAAAAAATTATGGGGAGTGCTTTAGTAACTTTGCATTTAACCAACATTTCCTAAACATCATGCCAAAACAAAAATCACAAAATAAACAAGAAAAAAAATCAATAAATTATATTTTCAATATTATTAAAAGTTAAACCTTTTTCTCTTCAAAAGAACTGATAAAAAATAAAAATGGAAGCACAAACTGGCAGAAATATTTGTGGAACTGGTATCTGACAGAGACTTGTATCTAGATGATATAAAAGGCACTTACAGCTTAACAATAGGAGTCATATAATCTAATTTTTTTCTTTTCATATCATCTAATTCTTAAAATAAACATATTTGCCCATTCTACAGAGATACATGGATAGCAAACCAGTAAAGAGAAGAAACTAAGCACCACCAATCACTAAGTACACATTACTACCATAACTAAATACTATCATATTCTTGCAAGGATAGCTGTAATTATGAAAACTGGTAAGGTAGAGAAAAAGTTGAGCAATTGAAACTCTCATATGCTGGCAAGTGTATAAAGTGTTACCGACACTTTGGAAATCAGTTTGACATTTCCTTAAAAACTTAGCTGTACACTTACATACAGCCTAGTCAGTCCAATTTTAGATATTTAACCAAGAAAAATGAAAACATGTGACCCTATTAAGCATATTTCTCATATTAGCCTTATTTGCAAAAGCCCAAAATTGTAAACAACTTTAAAGGCCCTCATGCCACAAATGGTTAAAGGAAATGTACTCATGCAGTAGAATGCTACAGAAAAATACAAAGGAATGAAGTACTCACTGCAATACAGCTAAATCTCTAAATAATCATGTGGAGTAAAAAGAAGAAAGACATGGAATACATACAGTATTATATTGTTTAGATAAAATTCTTAAAAATGAAACTCATCTAGAGTGACAGGAAGTGGCTCAATGATTGCCTGGAGGGTGTACAAGAAGATGTGGGAAGGAGAGGTTCCAATGGAGAGTGAAAAGAATTGGGTATAATGGAAATATTCTCTTGATAGTTGTGATGACTTCAAAATACACATAAATACATATATTAAATCTTAAACGTACACTTTAAACATGGGCCCTTTATTGCATATCCATTATGCTTAAATAATAGAGCTATTTTTAAATCTTTCGGAAAATTTGCAAATGCTTCTTAGATTGTGCAACTCTCCATCTACACTCAGGGGATGTGGTGTGGCAACACTCAGTGTGGTAACTCTGTCCTCCCTCCAGAGGTCAGGGCCTTCTTCCCCCAAGCGCTTTCCCATGCAGTTTTCAGAAACATAAACTTCCTTCTTGGAACATGCAAGAAATCTCTGTGTTTATATTGCAAGCCCACCGAGGGATGAACCCTAATTTAATCACCCATGTGTTTCCTGATCAACTTTTTGACAACTCACCATTGATTCTGGAAATGTCCCAGTCATTTCTCACACTATCACTTCCAAGATCAAATGTAAACTGTGGGCCTAGTAAGGGTTGCCTGTCATCATCAGTGGCTTCAAAAATGATACTTTCAGATGTTCTGAGGGGATAGCAAAAGAAAAGGCCCGTGTACTCCTTGGCTAGCCGCGGAGCGTTGTCGTTCACATCATCGAGGGTCAGGTAGAAACTTGCACTGGATTTCAAAAGGCCATCTAAATAAAGGAAAGATTGGAACACATATCAATTCATTTTATTTTTAATAAAGCAGAAAGTCAGTTGATGTTTCATTGATTCCAACCCAATGTGACCTCACGTGGAGTAGATCTCTCCCAAAGGGCTTTCGGTGCCCGATTTTTCAGAAGCAGATTATAATGCCTTTCTTTTAAAGAGCCTCTAAACAGACTCAAACCTCCAACTTTTTTATTTTGTAGCCAAATGTGTTAACTATTTGCACCACCCAGGGATGCCATCAAAAAAATATAATTCAAGAAAACATGTTTTGAAAGTCAAGAGAGAACTGATGTTGTAACTGATTAAAATGACTTAATGAGAATAAAAATCAAGATTTATGTGCCAAGGACTGTGCTAATATTTAGCCTACATTACCTCCAAACAACTCTGACATATTGCAGATGAGAAAAACTGAGGTTCAGAGAAGTTATGCATCTTGCCCAAGGACACATAGCCGGTAAGCAGGAAAGAGGCTTCCAGTCTGAGAGACCTTGTCCTCAGACATGGTGTTCAACTCAGACATGGTGCTCAACTTTCTAAGCTTTATTTCTTTATCTGTGTAATATGTGGTTTTTATAAGAACTGAATGTAGGTGAATCTTCTCCGAACACAGTAAAGGGTCCCTTAAGGTTAGTTACCCTTGTGCAGTGACAGAGAGGGCAGATGAGTGTGTCCATGGTGGGATTTTCACATTCCGACATGGATCAGAAGATCCATGGGCGGTTCCCTACCAGTGAACCTCAAGCGCAGCTACCCTCCTCTGTCAGGGGAGGCTTGCCTCAGTATGATGCTGCACAAATGTCAACAGAGCTTCCAGACTAACAAAGACTAGGAAGAAAGAGCTGGTTATCTACTTCAGAAAATCAGCCAGAGGAAACCCTGCAGTTGATGTTGTCTGCCTTCAAATTGGAACTCACTCCCTGCTCCCAATAACAGACCCTCCTACAGGTTTTCAGAGGCAGTTAATTGCACAGAAAGAGATTGCCAATCCTTCTCCTGCAGAGCAGCTAGTGGATTCGAACCATGTGCCTTTGGTATTGCAGTGCAGCTTCTTCTTATTAGGCCACCAGAGCTTCCTAATGGTCCACAAATGGCCCCATTCACATAGAGATGTATGACATGTGAGAGGTCATAGAAATGGTGTGTGAATAGACCATATTTTGTCTTGTTATGGCAAGAGGGTTCCAGGAAACCTGGACTGTACTGGCAACATTGAATAACACAGTGTGGAGCCCTGGTGGTGCAATGGTTAAACACTTGGTCACTAGCCAAAAGACCAGATGCTTGAACTCAACAACTGAGTTAAGTTTCAGAAGAAAAATTTGACAGTCTTCCCTGTAAAGATTATGGCTATTGGAACTCTAGAGAGGCAGTTCTGTTCTAACCTGTAGGGTTGCTCTAAGTTGGAATCTTTATAATGGCAACAGATAACAACAATAAGTAGTAAAGGACTTGGTTTAAGAAGCCTACAGCTTGGTAGATAGTTGCTCTCCAGGAACTTAATTTCTCAGAGCTCTCACAACTATAAAATGTGGTCAATAACAGCATTTCCCCTCACAGTGTTATGGGAGGAAGAGATCAAATAATATCCTCAAGGCTGAGAAGAGGGCTATAACTGCAATGAAGACCTTTTCTCATTTTCTCTCTGATGTCAGTCACAGATAACATTTTTATAATTTCCAACACCAACCACTTCCATTTTAGTAAGCCTGCCTTTCTGGATTTTCTTCTCAACTATCTTCTTTTAGCCAGGATTTCATGTAATCAAAGAAGAATAAAACCACTTGTGTTCTTGAAACTATTTCACTTATTTATGTCATTTCCATTCCAAGAACTGGAAATGAGGCAGAGTTTTGGAGCCTGGTTTTGATTCATGAAGCTTCTATAATGGGAGAGAGGCTCAGAGAAAAGTATCTAAACAGAGTGCTGATTCCCCTGGTATGTGGTACGGGAGGCATCAGGCACATATTCCTTGGTGAGTCAGCGGTGTTTAAATCAAGTGTTAAATGTATACAAGGTGGAGGTGGCATGTGCTTGGTTTGATGCAAGCAAGATGGAAAGATGGATCCTTAAAGAGGCCCATGGGCTCAACCATACCTCTGTCCCCAACTTGGTATATAGTTCTATTTCCTACCTTCTTTGGTATAACTTGATCACAGCATTTTCCTTCTTCTTAATCTTTCTGTATGCAGGAATCATTTTTATGATTCCTTTCCCTGTTCCTCATTCTAATTCCAAACCCTGGATTCACACTTTAGTTTACTTAGCACTCTCAGACTCTATTTAACTATTGCTGTTGTTGTTAGATGCTGTTGAGTTGACTACAACTCACAGTGACACTATAAAGAATGGATCTGGACCTTACATATCCTGTGTATTTCTCTAGCAGTTGTTTATTCAATATTCTCTCTGTCTTTTTGGTAATATATGGTGGTATGGTAGTAAGGAGTTGTGCTACTAATCCAAAGGCATATAGTTTGAATCTATCAGATGCTTCATGGCAGAGAGATGGGCAAACTCCTCTATTATGATACAGTGCCTCTGAAAACCTTCTGGAGGATCATATATGAATCTGTTTTGACTCAATGGTATACAATAACAAGCCAGTATAGACGCCAAATACATTTACAGTCTGATGGTGTAGCAAGTTGTTGCTAATTCAACCATGTTGTTCAAATTCACCAGTAATTCCACAGCAGAAAGATAGGCATTCTCCTCTTTCTATTGCAATTTACAGCCTCAAAAACCCAATGAAGAGTCATTTCAAGTCAGAACCAACTTGACAGGAGTAAATTTTAAGTTAATCAGCATAAGAACAACAGAATTCCTACTCTATATTGGCTCAGTTCCACTTAAATGAAAAGAAATGTCTTGTTGTTAGGTGCCATCAAATTGAGTATGACTCATAGCAATCCTATGAGCAACATGCCTGCGTCCTGCCCTATCCTGTGCCATCCTATCATTGCTGATACATGTAAGCACATTGCTGCGGTCACCATATCTATCCATCTTGTTGAGGGTCTTCCTGTCTTCTGCTGTTCCTCCACCTTTTCAAGAGTGATGTCCCTTTTCAAGGAAGAACCTCTCCAAGCAACACACCCAAAATATGAGACATGAAGCTTTGTCACACTTTGGCTGCATCCTTTCTAAAATGTCATCAGCTCATTCTTTTGGCAGTCCATGGGTTTTGCAGTACTCTTCTCCAACACCATAATTCAAAGGCATCAATTCTTCTGTTATCCTTTTTCATTGTCCAGCTCTCAGATGCTCAGCAAGTGATTTAAAAGACCATGGTATGAATCCAATATATCTTCCTTCGGCTTCAAACTGACATTATTGCTCTTCAGTATTTTGGAAAGGTCCCTGTCTGCAGACTTTCCCAAAGCATTGTATCTCCTTATCTCCTGAGTGCTGGTAACAGGGGTGTTGATTATGGACACAAGTAAGATGAAATCCTTGACAGATTCAATCCTATCTCCATCTATCATGGTGTTGCCTATTGGCCAAGTAGTAAGGACCTTTACCTTCTTAATTCAAAGAGGATGAAACCTAATGAACTGAAGGAGAAATAATGATCTATAATTTGCAATTACTAAAAAAAAAATTTGCAATTGCTTACTATGCCTCAGAGAGCTGGACAATGACTATGATAAAAGAATTGATTCCTTTGAATTGTGGTGCTGGAGAAGAGTACTGAATATACCATGGACTGCTAGGAGAACACAAAGGTTCACCCTAGAGAGGGTTAAACCAGGCTGCTTCTTGGAGGCAAGTATTCTGAGGCTTCGTCTGACATACTTCAGGCATGTTGCAAGGAGAGACCAGCCCTTGGAGAGGGACATCATTCTTGGAAGGTTTGAGGGACAGCACAGGAGAGGAAGACCCTAGATGAGATGGATTGACTCAGTAACTGGGGTAATGGGGGTAGGTATGTCGAGGCAATGAAGTTGGCTCAGAATAGAGCAGGGTTCAGAGCTGTTGTTGTACATGAGGTCACTATGATTTATAAGTGACTCAATGGCACATAACAACAATCACTTAAGAAGCAAGGGATAGGAGTGAGTAATTTATCCAGAGAATCAAGAACCTTCCTGGAAGTTGTAACTCCTAGGAAACCACAGGCATGAACAATATCCCAGAAGCCTGGCCAGCCTCCAGATACTGTGGTGGTCATTAAGTACCTTGAGGCTGACTCCAACATACATAGACAATTGAACAAAACTCTGCCTGATCCTCCGTCATCCTCACAACCTCTGCCCCTAGTTGAAATCACTGTATCAATCTATCTAGCTGAGAGTCTTCATCTCCTGCTAACCTTAACTACTTTTCCATAAGTAACATCCTTCTAAAGAGACAGCCCTGATTGTTGTTGCTGTTGTTAAGTGCTGTCAAATAGTAGACAACTCATAGCGACCCTATGAATGAAAGACCAGAGCACTGTTCAAAGAGTTTCCAGAGGCAAGCCATTTTGGAAGTGGATGCCACTCATGTCCAAAATATGTGAGATGAAGCCTCACTATCTTTGCTTTTAAGAAGCACGCAGGTTTCACTTCTTCCACGACAAATTTGTTTATTCTTTTTTTTAATTAATTAATTAATTTATTTTTCATTTCAGTGAACATCTACAGAGATTTTGGAATTCCATTCATTCATTGTTACACCCTTCTCGCTGTCCCCCCCATTTGCTCCTCTCCTTGAAAAGCAAAAGAAAAACTCCCTCATTGGTACACAATCCCCCCCCGCACATCCCCCAACACCAAATATAATCCACTCTGCAACCCTCATTCCGTACTCTTATGATAAACATAATGCCCTAAAATATAATACTTTGTTTATTCTTTTGATAGTTCTTGATAGTCTACTGCGAAGAAGGCATTCTCAGGAGCACAAGTAATTTTTACCTTTAACAAAACCAAGAATGTGCTCCCAATTTCTCTACGTTTTTGTATCCTTCCACTGCAAGGAGCTAGTACTCTGCCCCATGAGCCCAGTGACTTCTCCCGCCTGCCTCCCCCTCCTCCAGTCTCCCAGGTTTATGTTCTCTGCTCACCTTTTTCAGTGGCCTCAACGTGTACCTCATAATTACTTTCAGCTTCCCTGTCCAGTGCTGCCGCGCTGAAGATCTCACCGGTGGCAGAGTTAATTCTGAGCCAACCTCTCCTGTCGTCTTTCAGGGAATAACTTAATTGGGTGAAGAGAGCAAAAAGAATACCTGCTTTACTCTGTGTGAAAATGTCAACACACATTATACATCATTTTACTATCATGTCAACAGCATCATTTCATGGTATTTCTACTACAGCTAAAATCATCTAATGGTTTTAGTGCATTATTTACGTATCACCTGAAGGCAAGGGGAAAGCTTAATTCATCCTTACAAAGCAGTGGCTGTATTTAGTTTGTTAGGAAAGGGATTGCCATACATTGGAAAAGTCTGGTAAAAGAAACAAAAATTAAAGCAAAATGTCGCCTGCAGATGAATAGAACTAATAGCAACTCTATGAACAACAGATCTGGGCTCTGCCATCCTTGTCATCTCTAATATACTTGAGCCCATTGTTACAGTCACCAGGTCAATCCTTCTTGTTAAAGGTCTTCCTCTCTTATGACTCTCCCATCTTTCCAGGCGTTATGTCCTTTTCCAAGGATTGGGCTCTCCTATCAACACCCTCAAAAACAAACTAAAAGAATCTTTTTAAACCTATTAGCAAACTAACTCCACAAAAAATGAACCAGAAAATTTACAAACTCAGGACTCAGCCTTGTGTGAAATTGATAGGTGTGCGCAGACTGCTGGTGGTGCAGTGAACGTGGAGACTCTATGAAGATCCACTGGAGGCTTGTACATTTTGGGCAGTGGACTAAGGATAGAGACTACGAAAGGTTAGCTCTTAGATCAGCAAAGGAGACAGACACATAGTCTACCCTGACAATTCCAAATAAATATGATGAATATAATGGAAGGAACCCTATGGGACTGCAGAAATGTTTATAATAATCAAAGTCTAAGTTTAAGGAAATCAAAGATGTGTTTCTGAAGAAACAGAGCAAAAAGACTCAGAAGTAAGGCCTGGCAATCTCCAAAGAACAGAGCCATTGAAGACCCTGTGGATAACAGTTCTATTCTGAAACCCTTGGGATCACCGTGAGTTGAAATCAACTCGAAGGAATCTGGCTTGATTTAATTTCTTTGTTTTCTTTTAAAGCAAGACATGTCAAGTAGAAGAAATGTTCTAAACTCAGACAGAAGAATCAAAAGATGTCTTGGTGTGTAGAGGGAATCGAGTATTTCAGCAGTGTTTCAACAGGTATGGGGATGAATGGATGTCAAAAGATGTGACAGAAGAAACTCCAAAGAGCCACATCCCAGGAAGAAATGAGTACCCACTGAATGGCACTAAGAAGGAAGGTGGCCCAGTAAATAGGTGTTTTCAAAGCAACTCAAGGGTAGCCAACTAAGTGAAAGCTAAATCTGAGAAGAATAAGATTAAAGCTCCAGAAAAACCAACACTCAATAGTCATGATGATATTCCTTAGATCAAATAGTCCTGCTCCTAGAAAGTTTCCTTTTAAAAAAAGTATTTAAACAAATTTTAAAAAGAATTCTATAGAATATTTATAGGAAAGGGTTCTTTCTAAAATAATAAAGTACTGGAAATAACCTGACTCCAGGAATAAGAATGATTAAAAAGTGATGTCACGTTAGTTAATTAAATTAACTGTTTTTCAATTTTTTTAAAAGTGCATTTGATATGCCAAGGACTGCATTAGACTCTGTCCTCGGGATGAGAAACCTTCTAGGGTCTTGAGAGAGGAGTGGAATGATGAGCTTTCATTTTTAAAAGGATCTCTCTGCTCACAGCTTAGCAAATAGAATTGGGTAGGAGGAGAGGAGGGCCAAAGATGGATCCACCAGAGAGATGCCGGTGGACCGGATCATGGCGGAAGTAGGAAGAAGTGGTTGAATTCTGAGTGTGTATCAGTCCAAGTATCTACAGGTGCTGATGAGTTGGTTTAGGATCCACTGGACGCTAGTGGGACTAAGAGGAAGATAATACAATTTCTCGGGCTAAAACAGCTGGAATTATCTTTCATTCTTTTTTACAACAATATTTTATTTTGAAACAACCCCAAGTTAGAATAAAGTTGAAAATACAATCTAGTTGTAGTTCAGGGCCATTGAGCCCATTTTGAAACATAATGAGCCTTGAGAACAGAGTAGAACTGCTCAGTCAGATGTGCGAAGCTAGCATCTGTATAGGCGCAAGTGGCCAGGTCTTCTCTCCCAAAGAGGGGTGTTCTCGCTCTCTCTCAAAATATCTATAGTTGTTATAAGGAACTGTCAACTCTGCTCTGACTCTTAGCAACCCTGTGTACGATAGAACAAAACTTTCCAAATCCCCCACCATCCTCAAATCTGTGCTCTGCTTAACCTGTTGTTCCAGTCACTGTAGCAAACTATCTCATTCTCATTGAGGGTCTTCCTTTCTTTCATTGACTCTCCATTTCCCTAAACATGATACCCCTCTCCAGAGACTGACTGACCCCTCTCCTGATAATAGACCCAAAATATGTGCGACCAAGTCTCACTGTCTTCACTTCTAAGATGCATTATGGCTTCACTTCTTCCAAGATAAATGTGCTTGTTCTTTTGGTAATATGTTCAGTATGGTAGTATAGTGTACAAGGTATTGGGCTGCTAATCCAAAGGATGGCGGTTTGAATTCACTAGCCAATCACAAAAGTAAGATGGGCAGACTCCTACCATGAAAATCCACGACCTCAGAAACTCAGTGGAGGGTTGCTGTATGTCAGAAACAACTCGACATCAATGGTTTGGATTCATATATAAATATATTTTTCTATATTAAATATAATATGTATTTAAATAATTTATATATTACTATAAATACTTCCACATTTGTATACACTCTTTCAGCTTTAATTCTGAATTGGTCTATTATTCTGGAAACATTTTCTTCCTTTTTGTCCCCAAGGCCAATTAATTTAAGACTTCCCTTCTCATTCTCCCTTGCTGGTCTTTCCTCATCTTCCTGATATCAATTTGGGGATGTACACATTACAACTCTTTTTGACCCTTCATAGGGATTGTCTTGCATGCTTATGACAAATTTCTTATTTGTTTCTCTCACAAACTCAGATTTTTGTTCACTTATCTTTGACCAGTAGTTGTTTTTTTTTCTTTTTTTAAAATTATTATTAATTTCAATGAACATCTACAGAGATCTTGGAATTCCATTCATTCATTGTTGCACTTTTCTCCCCGCTCCTCTCCTTGAAAAGCAAAAGATAAACCCCTTCATTTGTACCCACTCCCCGCCCCCCACCTCCCCACTCCCACCCCAAGTATACTCCACTCTGCAACCAGTAGTTTTTATAGCATTCTCATGAGATTTGTTAAACAATAAATTATTGTGAAATCTTAAACATAGTGCCCCATATCATTTGTATCTCTGGTATACAGAGTACTATCTACACCAAAGTATACAATATAAACCCCACCCTTTTTTCCAGTCTTATGTTTATCTTTCTGAAACTAGAGAAAGGGTTAAAGAGTAAATCACTAGGTGGGGAACATACTCTTTAACTGACAATCAGATAAAGGCCCTGGAACTCATTCCAGATGTCTAAATGACCATTCAGCAGGAAGCAGGACTCCCACAAATGTTTAGAGAAACTAAAGGAACCACATGCTTTGCTTTAAGTAATGCTAAAAATACTTGTTATACCATGAACATTAGGGCTAATATAGAAAACCACCAAAAGATATGGATTTGAGTCCAATCTAGAGACACATCAATTAAATAATCTTCAATATGTTAAAGAAATTGACCAAAGTATAGATATACTCATATACCTATGTGTCCTGGACAAATGAATAATTATTATCTATTTTTATTTTCTCAATTTATTAACTTTTACATATTTTCTCCTCCTTTCCTTTCATCTTCCCTACCTCCTACAATGCCCCCCTGGTTCCAAACTGTTCTCATAATATAATGTTTAATCATATATTCCTTTCAAACAGTTTTCCCCATCATCTGTTCCAATGCAGTGTTCATTATCTATCCACCCCTTCAGTTATTCTTGATAGCAAAAAGATGGAAGCAACCCAAGTGTCCATCATTAAATGAATGCATAGAAAAACTATGGTATAGCCACACGATGGAGTATTATGCAGCATTGAAAAGCAATGAAATAATAAAACATTACACAACACGAGGGAGCCTTGAGGACATTAAAAAGTTTTAGAGAAAGTTTATATGGATTCTACTATATTTGAAAACTGGTAATTTCTAAGATGGAAAGTAAACATTTTGTTTTACTACCACATTTTAATCAGTGAGGAAATTGAGAGGCACAGCAAGATCAATAGACATCATAGAACTGAGGCTCAAATGGAAATCTGTATACCAATGTTTATAGAAGCCTTATTCACCATCACATGAAAATAGAAACAACCCAGATAGCCAACCACAACTGAATGGATTGAGAAGTTGTGGTACAGTCATACAATAGAATACTATGCAGCACACAGGAACAATGATTTTTTAAATTACTACCTAGCTTGAGAGGGACTGGAGAGTAATATGCTGAGTGAACTATCTCAGTCCCACAAGGACAAATACTGTATAGAACCATTATTACAGAATGAGTATGGGGACTCAAGGTGGGGGGGGTTGGAAATAGAAGCGTGAGGATAAGTAGGAAGGTAGGATGGTAATCATAGGGTTGCACAATTTGATGGGGGGGTGAAAGAAATGAGAAGGATCTTTTGTGAAAAACAATGTATTCAAACTTTGTAAATAAGTCAGTATAAAATAATTATAAAAAAAGACACACATCTTTGACTTAGCAATGGCACCATCACCAGAACACATCCTTCTCCATCCATGGCCTCCCAGGGTTCTGTATTCCAGAACTGTCTGTGCTCTTTCACTACTGATCTTTGTACATTAGCTCAGCTAAAGTGTCCTGCTTCCCTCTGTCTTCCCTGAAGCCTTCCTTGCCACCTCACATCCTTGCCAGGACTCCCTTCCTTCAAGGGCCTTCATTGCGCTGTTACAGCATTTAGCACTGAACTAGAATAGCTTCTTTATTCAACTTTACCTACTTCTAAAAGGTAAGCTCAGTTCAGTTGAAATGAAATATTTGTCCATTGTTTTCTTCCAAAATAATTTGAGTGGTCAATAGTTATTGAATAAAGCCACAATAAGTGAAAATATCCAGAAGAACCATACTGCCTTTCCACATCTTCCCTGCTGCATCAAAATGGCCCTACCCCATCCCGACAGGCTCAGCATTAACCTCCCCAGGATGGGTATAGAATGAGAATGAGCTAGGACACTTTTGTACCCTTGATCTAGATGCCTCCCCTCACCTTGCCAGATGGCTAAGCCTTTAGTTCAGTGTTTGACTCATTTCCCTGTTTGGACCTCTGGTCCATCTTAGGTCTAAAACTCTTCACCAAGGCCAACCCACATGATTGATTCACACATTAGGTTTAGCCGTGGTCAGTCCGTCCTTGGGAGATAGATCCCCTCTCCTGACCTGAGACTTTTGTTATAAGTTGCCTGGAATAGAAGCAGGGTAGTGCCTCCCATTCACCAAAGCCTGGATCCTCGGAGAGCAAGAACCACCCACGAAAATAACGCTCCACTGGGGTACTGATACTTCCTTGAACCAAGGCCAAGTTCCATGTGCACTGGAACACAGTGTTTTCAATTGCCAGCTATTTCACTAGAGAAGAGTCTTGGAGTCAGGCCAGTCCCTCTGCCCCTCCCAGCCCTGTCTTCCTTCACAATGGCATTGGTTGTGGCATGCAACAGTGCCCAGCACTCTTCTCCTTTACCTTATCTCCAGACCTTCTGGATCCTTGGCAGTCACGTTGCCCAAGTAAGTGCCTATTGTCACATTCTCAAAGACTTTTGCTTGGAACATTTGTTGAGAAAAAAGGGGTGGTTCATTCACATCTGTCACAATAAGTCTGAGCGTGGCAAATGAACTGTCGTTGTACTGTATACCAGACACTAAAGGCTCGGGATTTTCTGCCTTGAACACGATGTTGTGAACAGGTGTTGTTTCAAAATCAAGAGGCTGTGTATGGGGGGTGGGGGAGAGAGAGAGAAAAAAAAATTAATTTTGAGATATTTAAACCAAAATAACCAAAGTCATTGCTATTGAGTCAATTTTGATTCATAGTGACCCTAATGAAACTATGATTTTGATTGACTAATGGACCAGAAACCCAAATCCATTGCTATCAATTAGATGCAAAATTATGTCAAATTCCACCCCCCCCCCAACTCCATCAGATTTGCAGGGCTATAAACCTTAATGGGAAGAGACTGCCTCAATGTTCTCCCATGCAGTGGTTCAAATTGTTAATCTTCTGGTTATCAACTTTGGATGATTGTTTTTGTTGATGTTGTTAGGTGCAATCAAGTTGACTTCGACTAATAGAGATCCTACAAACAACAGATCTGAACCTTCCCCTAACTTTTACCACCCTCGTGATCTCAAGCTCATTGTTACAGACATCCTGTCTATCCATCTTGTTGAGGATGTTCTTCTCTTTCTCCAAACCTTCACCTTTCCCAGAATGAGGTCTCTTTCCAAGAACTGTCCCCTCCAGACTATATGTGCAAAGTATGTGAGATGAAGTTTCACCAATCTTGTCTCTAATGAGTACCTTGGTTGCACTTTCTCCAACACACATTTGTTTATTCTTTTGGCAGCCCATGGGATATTCAGCACTCCTCTTCAATACCACAATTCAAAGGCATTTATTCTTCTCTCATCCTTATTCATTGTCCAACTTTCAGATGCATAACTAATTTTTCAGAAACAATTGAAAAATCCATGGCTAGGATCAGGTGCACCTTAAGTCTTCAAACTGGCAATGATTGTTGTTGTTGTTGTCAGGTGCCATCGAGTTAAGTATGACTTACAGTAAACCCTGTCCTATCCTGTGCCATTGTCACCATATTTGACATTCCATAATGGACAATTATTGACTTTCTAAAAATAGTCACTCCTTATGCTATTTGGAAAACTCTCACTCAGAGCAACAATTCTATAGCCAATGTCAGCAAAAACCTGCTACGTGGAGAAATGATAAAAGATTTGTGAAGAGTCTTCACACCAGGACTCATCAGAGCTTTTAATATGTTGACATGTTTTATAACTCTCCAACGAGAGAAAATAGAAGCAGTACTCTTTAAATGTATTTATTAATAGAATAATATTACTCATTCATTTCTTCAGAAGAAATTCATTGTACAATATGTTATTGTTGTTGTTATTGAGAGACTTGGAGTCGGAACTGGCCCATAACTTACCCTCTAGCAGGTTTTCAGAGATAGTTAATCACACAGGAGGAAACTGACCATCTCTCTGAGCAATATGGTAGATGCTGGAAATAACATTCAAGTGTATTTGTCAAAAGTTCCTAGGTGGTACAAAAAAGTGAATGTACTTGGTTGCTAAATCAAAAGGTTGGGGTTTCAAATCCATACAAATGTGCCTCAGAAGAAAGCTAGGTAATCTACTTCTGAAAATTCAGATGCTGAAAATCCTATACATCTCAGTCCCACTCTGACATATATGCAGGTGCTGTGAGTTGGAATCAACTAGATGACGAGTGGTTTTTTATATTTGTGAGTTACAGAGATCTAGTCTCCTGGTTGCCTGGCACACTGGTAGACATATTTTAATGAGGATAGTTCTCTGAAGACAGTTTGGAGAATTCTTATATGTTATTGTTGTTGTTGATTGCCATGGAGTTGAACACAACTTACAGTGACCCTATGAACAAAAGGCCTGAAGCCTTTCTTATAACTATCGTCATTTATCAATGTTTATAGAGTTTCCAGAGGCATATTGTTCAGGAAGTGGATGCCACTCCTGCTTCCAAAAATTCTTATATAGAAATTTGAAATCTATGGGTGCTCTGGAGGCCTAGTGGCAAGAAGCTGCACTGCAATCCCAGAGGCCCACAGTTTGAATCCATCAGATGCTCTGCTGGAGAAGGAGGGACAATCTCCGCCTGTACCAGTCAGATCCAATGTGACGGTACACACACACACACACACACACACACACACACACACCTTTTTTAAAAAATTTAAAAATTTTTTAAAAAGAGAAATTTGAAATCTAAAGATTTTTAAATTTCCATATTGATCTTGGAAAATATATGAGATATAAACTGGACAATAGGGATATTATAAGGAGAATAATTTTCTGGAGGACCTTAAAAGCTAAGACACAGAAATAGACTTTAAAGTCCTTGAGAAAGCAGAAGAGGTGAGCAGAGACAGAACAAAAAGTGTGTGTATACTCTGCCCTCCTTCCAGACTTGTGTTGCACAGACCCAGGATAGAAAATCAAGAGACCATTGTTAATTTAGCATGGGGAAGAATATCCCTACAAACAACAGATGTGAATTCTGGCCAGTTGAGGCTATTCAAGAAAGAATTGTCTCAAAAACACAATAAATTCCCAACTTGGGAGGTTCTCTTTCTATCAAAACGAATACATGACCAGCTAGCACAGACCATGTTTATTGTTGGCTGAAAGTTGAAGAAATGAGACAGTATGCCTGGGAAAGAGTAGCAGCTTGTGTCAGGGGAATCGCACAAGTGAGGCAGTGAGGAAGTGAGAGAAGACTGCGTATGTAAGGCAAAAAATTCAGACCTTACCCTTGACAAGCAGAGAAAAATGTTTCAATACAAGACTGACATGGTCTTATTTCCGTTTTAGGGAAATAATTCTTGTAGCTGCCATGTAAGTGAAAGATGATGCCGTGGGTTCATTGTGCTCCCCCGAAGCATGTGTCAGCTCAGTAAGGTCATTTTCCCAGCAGTTTGCGGTTGTCCTCCATTTTGGGATCTAATCAAAGTATCTATTTTTTTAATATGTGGTAAATCCTAACCTCTACATGTTAACGAAGGCTCCTTGGTGGTACAATGGCTAAAACATTTAGCTCCTAGCCAGAGAGTCAGCAGTTCAAACTCCCCAGTTTCTTCAAGGAAGAAAGATGCAGAAGTCTGCGTCTGTAACGATTTAACATGATACGGGCAGTTACGCTCTGTGGAATAGGATCACATCTGAATTAACTGCAAACAGGCTTGGTTGGGGGTTTTATATATTAGTAAGGAAGGATTAGGATGAATTTTTTTTTTCCTTAAGACGAAACCTTACAAGAGGGTCTGACTCGAGTTTACCCTTGCTCAAGATACGCCCTTATTCAAATCATACCTTTTATCTTACACGAGACAAAAGGAGAGCAAAGCACATAAGGAGGAAAGACTGACTAGTATTAAGAGAGAACAGCCTGGAGCGGACTCCGGGATTCTGTACTGAGCGTCTTGTAGCACAGGGGAGGAAGCCTGATCCCTTGGAGATATCCAAGAATGTCAAACCCACAGATGACATGAGAAGACAGGTACCCTTCTTTAGAGCCAACAGCATGATTTTACACTTCTAGCATCTGTAACTATGTGAAAAAAACACTTTTGCTTGTAAAAGTTATCCACTTGTGGGATTTTCACTATAGCAGCACCAGGTAACAGGGAGAAGTTCTGGTGGTCTAGTGGGTAAGGAACTACACTGTCAACTCAAAGGCACCTAGTTCTAATCCACCAGCTGCTCCATGGAAGAAAGATAAGCAAATTCTTCCCATGCAATTTATTGCCTCTGAAAACCTGCTGAAGGGTCAGCCAACTCAACAGCACATAACAGAAACAACAAGATAAATAAGACACATGAATTTGAGAAAGATGTGGATTGGGGAGGGAAACCAGATATGAGTGTTAAATACTTGCTTAACAGCTTGATAAGACTTTGCCAACTATGCAACAAATAAACAAAACCATGTTCAATCCAGTCATGGTGGCCCCACATGTTAAAGTAGAACTCTACAAGATCTACCTCTTGGCTGTAATCTTTACAGAAGCAGGTCATAGGATCTTTCTTCCTCAGAGCCATTGGCTAAATTCTTACTTCTAAATTTTGGATTAACCACCAAGCACAAGTCACCCAGAGGCCTGACTGAATGTAAGAACAGAGGGGTAAAAAAATTAATTGGCCTGCTTAACTTCTACAACTAGAAAAACATGGCACCAATCTCCCAAGGAAAGAATTAAACGTGGGGAAAACAAAATAAATAGATGATTATTAGCAGAACCTAATCAGAGAGAAGCATTGACCATCTTCCATGACACAGGGATAATGCCTGCAAAATCAAGTCAACAGACCATTCCAGCCTCTTGGGATGGACTTGGGTCCCATCTGCTGCAAAATATTTATTAAATAAACTGGTATTTAATAAATAAACTGGTATTTAATAAATAAACGGATATTTATATCACAATTTCTCTTCTTCACACAACTGCTTCAAAGGTCAACTCCAGTGATTTAGATTCTACCTGGAGGCAGAGACAAAATGCTAAGGGATCAGGCTGATACCTGGGGATATTTAACATTTTTACTAATGTTTGAAGATGGGGCAAAAGTGTGCACATTAGTTTCCCAGATGACTCACAGGCTGGTTGAAAAATACGTCATGAACTGAGAACACAAAATCACCAGACTTTCCAGAGAAGAGACAGATATTATTTTAATTAAAAAGAATGAAACTATAAACGTCAAACTTAGTAGTGGCAGGAAATGGGTTTCCAGGAAGGTTACAGATGAGGCAGGCAGGTCTAAAAAAAATAGCCTTTTTGTTCCTGACGCCACTGCAGTCCTGGGGACAAAAGGATTTGTCACAGCACTGACCAGAGCTCTGGGAAGCAGTAAATACAGAGGAAAGAAAGCATTTCCAAAATGTTGTGTTGTTACTGTTATTGTTGGTGCTGTCGAGTCAAGTATAACTCATAGCAACCCTCTGAACAGCTGAACTAAATCTGTCCTATCCTGTGCCATCCTCAGACAGAGTAGAGCCCATTGCGGTAGTCACTGTGTCAATTTGCCTGAATGAGGGTCTTCCTCTACTTCACTATCCCTCCGCCCTTCCCAGCATCATGTCCCTCTGTAAGGAATAGCCCCTCCTAGCAACATGCCTAAAGTATGTAAGGTGAAGCCTCATCATC